GAGGCTGTTGTGGTGCTGCTGCTGCTGAGCAGTGGTGGTCCAGTGGGGATTGCCCCTGGTGCAGACTCCCTGGGCAGCCCTCCCACTCCCCATGTCCCTCTTACCAAACAGACCCTGTGGAAGATCACAGGCTGGGGTCCACCCAGGGGAGAATTAAGCATGATGGGTCCTGACCAGCCCCTCCACCTGGACCAGGGCAGGTATGACCAGGACAGTTCTCTACCACAGCTCGTGGGTCCATCTTCTCAGCCCACCTACCATTTAAGCTCTAGTTGAGGACCCATGCTCTCCCCACTGAGGGACCTCTTGGCCAAGGTGACCAGCCAGGTGGGACTTTGGGGCCTTGGGCCAGTATCCAGGCTTCTGCCTGTGGTAGGGTGATACTGAGATTAAGGTGATGCTGAGAGGCTGAGAGATTAGCAGGAGCTGCTCGGTTCCCAGGTGGGAACCTTCATGCCTTAGGCTTGAAGATGTTCCCTGAACCCCTGCCTCCTGACTCTGGGAGGTGGGAGGAGGTGGGTGGGCAGGGGGCAGGATGTCCTGTCCTAGTGATGTTTTCCAGGAGGTGGCCGTGCCCATCCTGGTCTGAGAGATATGCCAGCAGATGACCACCTGGGACAGCCTAGTGTCCTCAGGAAGTGCCTTGTCCAGGATGTGTTCTGTGTATCTTTTTGGGGGCAAGGAAGCCTCCTGCCAGGTGACAGCCACTCTGGCCACCCTCCAGGTTCACTGTGTCCTGGCTGAGTCCCCACCCGACACACTGGGGTCCAGAAGAACAGCCTCCTTGCCGAGGACCTGTGGTCTCAGCAGAAGGTACAGAGGCACATGGGCCCCAGATGGCCTGGTGCTCAGGTCCCGCCCTCCCCTGCCCCAGGGTGAGTGTGAGGGCCGCTGGTCTTTCCCATCCATGAGACTTGGAAGCAGGTCAGGACTGTAAGCTGGGAATTAGATGCACTGGGCGTTACCAGCTTGGTGTCTACACCCATGTGCAACCCACACAGACGGGGTTGGCAGAACCCAGGCTGAGTGACACTCAGGCACAACCGGGACTACTTGGTGCTCCCGCTGGATCCATTGTCCTTCCTCTTATTGGGGTCCCTGTGAACCCTGAGTGATGGAGTCTAGATTCACCCTTCTGGTGGGATTTGAAATTCAGGAAGCTTGAAGATAACACACTAAAATGGATCTCAAACACAGGATTTGAAAGTGACATTTCCAGAGCACTTAAAAGACCCCAGACTCACCCCAGATACCTGACCTTGCTTGTGCTGTCGTCTGCACTACAACTGCTGAGCTGGTGCCACTGTCTGCTCCTCTTCCCCCTCCTCCCCTCCTCCTCCTCCACTTCACACTCTCCTCTAAATCCTCCTCTTATCCTACCTGACCCTGGTCTAAGCAGTGATGCTGGGGAGTCAGTGCTGTCACTCTTCCAATCAACACTGTCCCATTTCAGACCTTTGATGTTGCTGCACCAGGACGCAGGGGACATGGTCCCCGTCACAGCCGCCAGCCCCAAGAAGGTGGGCACCGTGAAAGGGGTGAAGTGTCTTCAGGACTGAAACTGATTTTCCCTTTAGCAAGCCAGGGGCAAGGAACTCATTACACAACAGAACTGGCCCTCTGGCATCAGGGAGCAGCTGCCAAGGTGGGATGGGACGTCCCCAGCCCAGCCCGGTGGCTTCTCACTGATGCTGAAGGAAGAAATGTCTGCAAAGCACCTGCGGACACACCATCCACACAGGTCTCATGTGTGTCCTCTGAACACCTGTGCTTTTATTATTGACACAGGAAAGGGCAAATCTACAAACAACCAATAATTTTTTAATTGAAGTTTCGTCGATTTATAATGTTGTGTTAGTATCTAGTGTATAGCATAGTGATTTAGTTATGTATGTATATATTCTTTTTTCATTATAGGTTATTACAAGGTATTGAATGTAGCTCCCTGTGCTGTACAATAGGACCCTGTTGTTAATTCTGTATATAGGAATTAGTGTCTGCTAATCCCAAACTCCTAATTTATCCCTCCCCCTCCCCTTTCCCCCTTGGTAACCATAAGTTTGTTTTCTATGTATATCAGTCTGTTTCTGTTTCATAAATAAGTTGATTTCTATCATAATTTTTAGATTCTACATGTAAGTGATATCATATGATAATTGTGTTTCTGACTTACTTCGCTTAGTATGATAAGCTCAAGGTCCATCCATGTTGTTGCAAATAGCACTATTTCATCCTTTTTTATGACTGAGTAGTTTTCCATTGTATATATGTACCACCACTTCTTTATTCAATGATCTGACAATGGACTTTATGTTGTTTCCATCTCTTGGCCATTGCAAATAGTGCTGCTATGAACACTGGGGTGCATGTATCTTTTTGAATTAGAGTTTTGTCCTGATACATGCCAGAAGTGGGATTGCTGGATCAGAAAGTACCTCTATTTGTAGTTATTAATGGAACCTCCATACTGTCTTCCATAGGAGCTACACCTAATTACATTCCTACCAACAGTGTAGGAGGGTTCCCTTTTCTTCACACCCTCTCCAGCATTTAACATCTGTGAACTTTTAAATGATGACCATTCTGATCAATGTGAGGTGATTCCTCATTGTAGTCTGATTTGCAGTTTTTGATAATTAGCAATTCTGAGTAACTTTTTCTCTGCCTATTGGCTATTTGTCTGTCGTCTTTGGAGAAACGTCTATTTAGTACTTCTGTCTATTCTCTGATTGTCTTTGTTGGTTGGTTGGTTTTTTGTTATTTGGTTATATGAGCTGTTTGTGTATTCTGGAAATCAAGTTCTAGACAGTCACATCATTTGCAATTATTTTCTCCCAGTCCATAGACTGTCTTTTTGTTCTGTTTATGATTTCCTTTGTTGTTCAAAAGCTTATAAATTTGATTGGTCCCATTTGTTTACTTTTTGCTTTTGTTTCTATTGCCTTGGGAGGCTGACCTAGGATAACATTGCTACAATTTATTTTAGAGAGTATTTTGCCTTTGTTCTCTTCTGGGAGATTTAGGGTGTCCCATCTACTATTTATTAAGTCTTTAAGCCATTTTGAGTGTTTATTTGTGTCTGGTGTGAGAGAGTGTTCTACATTCACTGATATACACGCAGCTGTCCAGCTTGCCCAACACCACTTGCCAAAGAGACTGGCTTTTCTCCATTGTATATTCTTTCCTCCTTTCT